AAGGTTAAGGAAGAGAAAGCAGGGCGGACGAAGAAGTAGAGGAGCTTCCAGTCCTTAATGGAATCGGACAACCCCTCGAAAAGTTGTCGCCCCGGGCGAGCGGCAACTTGAACAAAGCCCGGCGAGTGCGAGCCGACCTTGTTCACGGTGAAAAGATACCGGAACAGGTCTAGATCCGGCTCGCACAACCACCAGTGGCAGAGGTTGACGAAGCAGGTGAGGAGTCGATGAGAATTGGGCACTAATTGGCCCGGAACTAAGTTGTAATGGCGATAAAAAAGGGAAAGGAAAGGACACGGAGGAACTCGGAAGCTAAAGGCAACCGAGTGCAGGTGAATGTCGACACAACCCTCGGGGGGGTCGTAAATTTGCCGGCCTTCGGGGGCGAGGACTACGGCTGAAGGCCCAAGAAGGTATTGGGCCATTTCCAGGTCCACCGCATTAACAATGGACGGTGGCCCGGAAGGACGGACGATGGAATCAAACTTGCCTCGCGGCCGTCCGATGCCACCTGGCAGAACCGCCACCGTCGTTAAAGGAGCGGGGCTCAGCGGAGTAACCGCCCCCGAAGAAGAGGGGGTCGGAGGAAGAGAAGACGTCGATGGAACGTCCGCCGGAAGTTCCATACGACGAAGAGAAGACGTCGATGGAACGTCCGCCGGAAGTTCCATACGACGAAGAGAAGACGTCGATGGAACGTCCGCCGGAAGTTCCATACGACGGGGAGGAGAAGAAGAAGACGAAGAAGGAGAAGAAGAAGAGGGGGAGGTCGCCACCGGGTTATCGACCGAGTAACGACGGGAAGAAGAAGAATGTGAAGAGGAAGACATTACCTAAGTTAGGTGGGAGATCGGAGGAAACGCAGAATGGCCGGAGAAGCTCGAGTTGAGAATGAAGAGAAAGACTGGAGAAGAGAGTGGAAAAGAGACGAAATAGCTATTTAAAGGGGGAGGAATTTCAAAGGACGGCCACGTGCCATCTTCTCGTTGGAGGAAGTGGAGGTGACGGGATGTGAAGGGACGCCGTATTTAATGCCTCAAAAGGCGGGGCGACGGTTCAGGCCTAGGGTTAGCCTACAGACGGCGCATCTGCCCTAGGCTAGGGTCGGACGTCAGTGACCCGGCCTGCTAAGCCGGAAGCCCATCGTAGGCCATGGCCTCTGGGCCCACGAAGTACGAGCTAGAAACTTCTAGAACGACCCGACAGAACCCGGCCCATCAGATGATATCAGCCAAGTTCACGAAGAGACTCCGGTCACCAGGTCGGCAATCAGACTCGGCGACTCCCTCGCCAGGAGGGTCTCGCCGTAGCATGACTAGGAATCAGTCCCGTAGACCAGAGGCCGGGCGACAAAATAATAAGAAAATGTAAGGTCGGACAGAAAAGCACACAGTTTATTGAATTAGCACGAAGATTACAAGGCCCAGAACTCGGCCGATGCAAATTACAAGAGAAAAACGGGTCAAGGCTTGGCTTCTTTCTCTGTCGACGGGCGAGCAGTCGGAGGGCCTTCCAGGAGGTACTGAGAGCGGAAAGGCAGAGGACTCGGCTCAGGCTCATGCATTTCGTCCAGATACACGGCGGGCTTCCCGTCATCGATCATTTGCAAGGGCCTCTCCAGAGCACTCGGCGACATGGCAACACCAAAGAGGGGAGGAGCCTCCCACTTCTCTTCCACCATTGGTTCTGGATCCCCCACCACAGGCTCCATCTCCACCACAGGCTCCATCTCCACGTCGATAGGCTCCCTACACATCAGGTCCAGCATGTCTGGAGGCACCACAATGGGGTCTGAAGCCGAGTCGCCCACCAAACGACCTCCGTTAGCCAGCCTCATCTGCCTTAACTGCTCCAGTCGAGCATGCTCCTTGTTACGAATGGACCAGCGGCGATCACCATCCCTGTAACTCATAGCGTCGTGCCTTCGCAAAGTGGAGAGTGTTGCGATTTGCATCAACTATGAGGGGTTTTTTTTATAGCCCAGTAAAGGCGAATATCTAGGCGATAATCACGGAGGAGATCATAACTGACATAACTGAGCCGGATTAGACGGATGACGCGAATCTCTGTCAGAGATTAGTTCCATCAGATCCGCCCGGGAAGAGCAAGATTCGCACGCCAACGCAGAGAAGATTGGATTCGCCCAAGATACGGGGAATCTTGCAGGTGTCAGACTGAAAAGAGTCTGATGATGTGACTGACTCTTTGACCAGTCGTCCGGGTGGATGCGCAACAGAACACGACAAAACATAAGGCAAGGCGAAAGTAGCATTTTTTATTATTATTGTAAAAAAGGAGGGTACAAGTAGCAAGGAGCTTATTACAATAAGGAATATGAAAATGCTCCTAAAAAAGATCCCTCCGAACTATGGCCGACTCCGGTACATATGATCACTCGCCGGGCGAGGAGGAGTTGCCCCCAAAGAATCCCCCCGATGGTCCAGGTGGGGACGGACAGAACGAGTCCCAGAAAGCTGGCATGAGCGGTGGCGCAATTGGCTCCTCATCATCCGGATACGCCTCCAGGTAGCGGGCGTAATCCTCATCATTCATCAGGCCCGTCCAGGTCGTCCAGTGGAATTGAGAAGGTCATTCTGAAAGTAAGTTGCTCTGGAACCGCCACCTCAACAAAGGACCCGTCTTGAGAAGTCACTCGGGCAGTTGTGGGAGTAGGCGGATGGCGTGAAGGCGGAGCGACCTCACGTCGAGGAGGAGTCGGCGGCTGAGAAGCTGAAGACGTAGCGCCGGCAGGAGACCTCTGAGAAGCCGGGCGAGGAGTCTTCTTTTTGTGTTCCCTTTCAGGCTGAGTCCGCTTGGAGGGCAGCGGACGCCAAGGAGACCCGAAGTCAATTCGTTTTCCTTTCAGGGGAGAACGACCCATGATGGACTTGTGAAGGTAAGAGAGAAGGGAGGAGGCCATTTATAGGTGCCAAGTTTAGACAGAAGAATCCAAACGGCCCCGCGAGATCCGGAGAGGATGACTGAGGATCCGGACGTTACAAAAGGCTATTCAAGGCGTGGATACGGTGATTGAAGGAGATGGACAGTTACTACTTTTCCAAACCCAGGCTAGCGTACCGGGTATGAAAAAGTGAGGGACTAGTTGATGGGGTAAGGACCCCGGCCCAAGAGATAGGGGCCCAAAGGAAATGGTTCGAGACAGGAGAAGTGGGCCAGCGTCCGAGGAGCCCGAAGAGCTATTGGGCCGAGTCCTGGAGTTGGCCCAGGCCCAGGCACGGGGCCCGGTTCAGAACTGCTAAAGAGGAGCCCAGTGGGAGCTTAGGCTGAGACGAGGAGTCGACCAAGGCCCAAACCCAGGGAAAGACTCGGTTCAAGGAGCCGTTGAGAGCATTGAAGAGGCTCGTTTAAAAGGGAGCCGTTAGGGCATTGAAAGCAGAACTCGGTCAGGCTGTTACAAGCCTAGAAGAGCCGTTGGTCGACCGAGTAATGGCGTCCAACGGCTCCATATCTTGATTAGTCTTGAAGTCGGCCATTAAGGGCCTTCAAGTCGGTAGAGGAGGAGCCGCTATTTAAAGGCTCCTCCACTCTTGTAAAATGACAGACGATTGAATACCCGGAGAGGGGAGAATACCAGAGAGATTCCGAGCACTAGCATTGTTTCCGAGATAGGCATACATTTTTATTGAAAGGTGTATCCTCCAGCCATAGGTTGTGTTGGACCTCCTTAGGCCCGAAAACCCAAAAACCATCAGTTCCAATTAGGAGAAAGAAGAGGGAGGGATAAAAAGGAAAAAGAGAAAAAAAAAATTAAAAAAAGTGACGCAAAAAAAATAAAAATAAAAACAGATATGCGCCACTCCTTTCCCTTTCCTCTCTTGGCGGGCTTAAAAAAAAAAAAAAAAAACTTGCAGGAAGCCCTTTCCTCCACATAAGTCATGTTGTCCTAAAAGACTACAACATATGGAGATGTTATGTACTATAGTATAGGGATTTGAATAAAATTGAATACAATTATGCAATTGATAGTAGAGTGTTATTTTGGTTTTTAGGTGGCATGTGGGGATGTAGCTCAGATGGTAGAGCGCTCGCTTAGCATGCGAGAGGTACGGGGATCGATACCCTGCATCTCCATCTCTTTATTCATTTTCTACTGCGCATCAACCTCCAGAAAAGGGTCTCATTTATTACTTCTTTCTGAACAAATAATGAACAGGGTGCCATGCATTCTTCTGCAGTTCTGCCTTCAACCAAAGCACTGCAACAAAGCTGGCTCATGGCTTTTTTTTTTTTTTTTTTTTTGAAAGTGGCTCATGGCTATTTCAATTCATTCTTCACATCACTCTCATTCAAGGCCAACTGCCCTCACAGCTTCCACCAACCCTCTCATTTATACCTCCAACCATGTTGCATGCAATTCTTACTAACAAATTAAAGGAGTCTAACTGCTAACACTAGTACACAAAACACTTTTAATGTCGGTTATTTAGACCATACAACGTTAGTTAAAAAAAAAAAAAAAAAAAAAAAGATGTTCAAAGAGATGTTTTAAAGTAATCATTCGACAAAAACTATACATAACTATACATGAAATGGAAAGTACGTAGCTAGATAACTTATTGAGTTAATTTCATTTTTGATCCCAGATTTATGGGTGACAATCCACTTTTAGTCTTTTTTTTATTAGAACATCTTCATTAGTCATAGTATTATTGTGGCATGATCATTTTTAGTCCTCCTTCAACAAAAATTGTTATAATGTCATTAACTTCAAAGACATTTCAATTTTTTTCTTTATACAAAGTAGGTTGAACCGCTATATTTTTTATATTTATTTTTTAAAAAAAAAAAATCATAATTGAAGACCGAAATGACATTGTATTTAACTATATTTAAACTGTTTGTTGATAAAGAACAAAAAATAATCATCATATCACAATAATATTAGGATCAAAAGTGAATCTTATAATAAAAATGGAATTAAAGTGGATTGTCACCTATCAATCGAGTATCATAAATGGAATTAACTCTAACTTATATCTGTCAAAACCAAATTTTTACAAATGAGAACTATTGCAATTTACACGAGGAAAAAAGCTAAAAGTGGAAAATACATTTTGCTAAACATACAAAAACTCAAAGAATAGATTGATGCATATATTCCTCCTTTGAATTGATTGCTTCAAGAATGAATCCTAATCCAAACACTGTGTCCAGGAACACTCTGGTGCACCAGGAACACCATATAATACCCCGGCGGCGCCACGTTACGCGTCGCCGGCGCCTCCACCGTCACCTTGTAAGCGAACACCGACAGCCGCTGCAGCGAAACGGTGTGCAGCACTAACATGCGCTGATTCATGGAGAAGGAGTGGGTGGTGAACGACGGCGGGATCATGGTCACGGCGATGCCGCCGCCGCCGCTGGAATTGAGCATCGCCATTGTGAACGTCACGGAGAATTTCTCGCCGTATGTCACGGAGTTGCCGCCGCCGCCGGACTCGATTGACAGGATCGACGGGCGGAGGTAGGCGTAGATTGGGGAGAGGTACGGCGGCGCGTAGGATTCCAGGCTTAGCTCCGTCGGGTATCTTTCGGTGGTGAAATTGTATTTCGTGTGCGGGTTGCTCCCGCCCACTAGGATCCTGCCATCTGGCAAGAGGATGGCGGATGAGTGGTACATCCTCGGGATTCCGGTGGGGGCGAGCACAGAGAATCTTTTACTCGGGTCACTCTCACGGGGCTTGTAGAGAATCGGGTTCAAAACCGGGTCCTCACCGTACTCCCACCCGGCGGTTCCCTTTGCCGCGCCGTTGAGGATGATAACATCACCGACGGGTAATAATAACATATCCGACATAACCCGACCCATTGGCATATTCTCCATGACCCAAATCGGAAACGGATCGGTTATCTTCATCCGCCCGCACGTGCGGGAAGCTGGCTCGTACACGTGCATCTTCTCCGCTTTAAGATACGCGCCTCCCTTGTTGCCGCCGCAGATTAGAATCTCCACCTCCGGCGACGCGGCTCCGCCGGTTAAACGTAGTGGCAGCATTACCGACGAACCGGTCGCCGGATACGACCTCTTCTCGCCGGGAATCGGCGGGAACTCTCGCAAAACGCGGTCGTTTTGATAATCAAGAACTATGGAACGCTGATTGGCGAAGATATACAAGTTCCCGTCCGGCAAAAGATACAAGAACGGATAAAGATTGTTCTCTTCTTTCAGATCGCTGGTTTCCACCAAGAACCGAAGTTGATACGCTAAATTCGTCGTGTTTGGGGACTTTGGGAAGAATTCGTAGCTGAAAGCTCGCCGGCCGCCGACTATAATGATACGGCCGTCGGGGAGAATGTGATCGGAGGAATACCATCGCTGTATCGTGAGATTCTGGTCAAGCTCAACCCAATCGCAGAGATCGTCGTTGCAGGGAGTGAACGTGCGTATTCTCCGGTCGCCGCCGTGGTACCCGCCGGTTTGGACGAGGGTTCCGTTGGGGTCCAGCCCGCCGGAGGAGCACCAGACGTTGGTCTGCACCATGAGTGCGCGGTAGGTGTTCGACGTAATGTCGTAGAGGAGAGAATGGGCGGTGCAGTCCCGGTCAATGACCTCGTCGTTGTCGCGGCACTTGCCGTCGGGGAGGGAGAGGTTGGAAGCTCCGAAGTCCGTCCGGTCAAACATCACCACCTTGTTGTCCGGCATGAGCTGCATGTGCATGGCGGATACGCCCACGCTAGCGTGCAGAAGCACCCACTCGCCGCCCGGTGACCACCCAGACAACTGCTCCGTTCTTGGTTCCACGGCCGCCGGCGTGTCGTTGAACCCAGTAATGGACGTCAACAAAGCGGCGGTGCCGGACCTACTCCGGTTGCCGAGAGTTGAAGCACAAAATACGACGGCAATGAAGGTGACAAAGAAATGGAAACAGGAATTCTTGAACGCCATTGAAGACGACTCTTATTTTTCTTGAATTCAAACATGCATAAAGGCGAATTAATATGAGGATCGGATATATTATGAGCTAATTAAGTGATGACTAAAATGGAGAAAATATTTATTGGAAAATTTTTATTATTATCTCTTTCTAACCCATTTTACCTATTTTATGGTTTCGTTAACTAAAATTATTTAATAATTTGTGTGTTTAATATATATATATAATTTCTAATTAGTGTTATTTGTAAACATATAAATTGTATTATTTAATTAATATTAAATGATCGGAATAGTATAAAGATTAAATAATAAATAATTTATGTTTATTTTTATCAATTGAAAAACTATATATAAATTAAAAATAAATGCATGCAATTCTAAAGAAATGTACTCTACGACTTTGTGGTCTAGTGACACGGAGAGATCATGGGTTGGGTATGATTTCCAGTAAGTAATATTGATTTTTGTGCTTTAGTATGCTGAGAAAGTTGTTATTAACTAGTATTAAAAGAACCAATTTTTTGAATGCAAATGTACTCTAATTTCTCCCTCCAAAATTGATCAACTTCATCTTTCAATACTTAAACTAATCAAATTTCACTTGTAACTAATATTAGTTATTGGCATGTCTATGGGTAATAGTAAAACTAGAGTGGGCTGTTTGGTTCACGGAATAAATTTGGATAGAATAGGAATGTTATTTCATAGGAAATGGAATAGCCGAATAGGTAAGGAATAGAATATGAATTGTATTATGTTGTTTGGTTCGCTGAAGGAATAGACTTTGAGAATTGTATTCCAACGTTTGGTTGGTTAAAGAATAGAAGTGTAATATATATTTAAAAGACATAAATACCCTTGTACAAAATATATTATTATTATTATTATTATTATTATTATTATTATTATTATTATTATTAATCATTGCTGAATTAGATCATTAGTATCTAGTATCACCACTAGCTTACACGAAATCACCCCTCAAAAAAACCCTAGTTATATATATGTATTTATTTTTTATTTATTTTATTGTTTTGGTTCATCTTCAACCCTCTCCTTCGTGTCTCTCTAATAAATAGAAAAAATCATATAAAAATTAAACACCATATACAATCATCATAGAATTAGATAAATATATTGTGAATGATGAAGAGTCTGAACCTGAAAGAAATACAAATTTTAGATTTAGTCAATTAGTTGAAGGATATAAAATAGGAAATATCAATTTTAAGCTATTCCTGAGAACTCAGGAATAGCTTAATACTTAATGGCGTGTTTGGTTCATGGAATAGGTCGGGAATGGAATACCGTTCCCGGGAATAGACCTATTCCATTGTTTGTTTTGTCATTTTGTTCAAGGTAATAGCATTCCCGGGAATGAGTTATTCCCTTTGCAGGGGGAATAGCCATTCCTAGGGGACCCCTGGTATTAGCTATTCCCAAGTATTTGGGTATAGCTTTAGTACTATAATACCGAAAATACTCTACCACCGCCACCACTGCCGCCGTCTCCACCACCACCCCACCACCGTCACCACTGCCGCCGTCTCCACCACCACCCCACCACCGCCACCACCACCACCATCGCCGCCGGCACTGCTACCACCACCGACACTGCCACCACCTCCACCGCCGGCACTGCCACCACAACCACCAACACCACCACATATTTTTATAAGGGTATTTATGTCTTTTGAAACATATTTCATTCTATTCCTTAAACCAACCAAACACTGTAATATAATTTCTAAAGTCTATTCCTTCCGCGAACCAAACAATAGAATATAATTCATATTCTATTCCATTCCTTATGGAATAGAATTCTTATTACCTCAAAATTCATTCTATGAACCAAACGTGCTGTAAGGGGGGCCAGGAATCTCTATTCCCCTTACAAGGGGAATATGTCATTCCCAGGAACAATGTTCATGGGAATAGAAGTTCCTACCAAACAATGGAATATGCCTATTACTAGGAATGCTATTCCATTCAAGGCCTATTCCGCGAACCAAATGTGACATAGGTGTGGTAACTTTTTTTTTTTTTTTTTTTTTTGAGGGGATAGATGTGGTAACGTTTAGTTTTTGAATTGTTAGTAATGAAATGATAATAAGAGGGAGTAAAATTAACACAAAAAGAACAATATGTGTTGGTTTGTCAACTTTTACAGCACGTTTGGTTCACGGAATGAATTTTGAGGTAATAGGAATGCTATTCCATAAGGAATTAAATAAGCAAGGAATAAAATAGAAATTGTATTCTATTGTTTGGTCCGCGAAAGGAATAGACTTTAGGAATTATATTATAGTGTTTGGTTGATTTAAGGAATAGAAATGAAATATGTTTTAAAAGACATAAATACCCTTATAAAAATGTGTTATGGTGGCGACGGTGGTGGTGGTGGTGGCGGCGGCAGCGGTGGTGGTGATGGAGACTGTGGTGGCGACGGCGGTGAAATTTAATTGGGGGGTAAAATATGAAATAAAAACTTTAGGTTATTCCCGAGAACTTAGGAATAGCCTAATACCAGCCCCCCCCCCCCCCCCCCCCCCCCAAGAATCTCTATTCCCCTTGCAAGGGGAATAGATCACTCCCGGGAACAATGTTCCTGGGAATACAAGTGGTTTACAAACAGAGGAATATGCCTATTACTTGGAATGCTATGACATTTCAGGCCTATTCCGTGAACCAAACAGCCCATTAGAGCAGTCTGCCGGGGGTCCAACACACGAAAAAAGTGATAGACCGCCGGAAAATGCTATAAGCACTCAAGATATCCTCTCAAAGCTCTCGTGTATATTGAAATTGCAGAACCCCTTTTACAGTGCCAAGGAAGGCTTTTTATAGCGGTCCGAGTGACCGTTGGAATCAGGCATAACGTACGCACATTTAATGAACTAATAATGAGTAATTAATGCTTTAAATATGCACTAATCATTGATGACCGCTACTCTCCTTTGCGATCTGCTCCATAAGGTCTTTACTCATGCATTAATTAGGTACAATAACGAGTCTCAACGGATCTTTCAAATTAAACTCTTCGTCTTCCGACTATTATCCCCGACTCTCCTTGCCACTCTACCTCTTCCCCCTGCCCTTCCTCACATTTGTCTACTAATCCTTCTGAGCCCTTCACTCAGTCGACCTTCCGAATAATCCTTCTAACCGGCCTTTCGGGGTACATATCCCATCTTAGTGTAATACATAAGAGAAAAAAAATGATGAATATAACTTTACACCTTGTTTTGATAAACATAAGAAGGAAAAAGAGTAATATTTTTTAAAATACATTTGAAAAGAAAGGAGGCAAATGAGTGTTGCTTCCAAAAAATAAAAGTATTACATTTGATTTTGTTGTCTAATTTCTCAGCAAACTATTATCGCAATGCTCTTTTAGGAAAAAGTAAATGCAATACTCATTCCATAAGTGTTCTTTCTGGGAAAAGCAAATGTAGTGCTCCTTCCAGAAAAAGCAAATGCAGTGCTCCTTCCAGAAAAAGCAAATGCAGTGCTCATTATGGAATGAACAATTCTAGCAATAGTTGATCGAAAAATTAGACGCCCAAACAAACTATGATACGAATTACATAGTCATGCATCTAATTAGAAGATCATAATAGTTAAGGACAAATGTGATTCATACATATATAATAGTCAAGTGACAACAAGTGATTTTTTTTTTTTATTTTTTTTTGAAAACAAGTGAAATTTAATCATGATCAAATAAACAACTATACGCAGCCACGCAGTGGGCACAAAGCGAACTATTCTTTCGCCTTTTACTAAATAAACAACTATTCAATGGTTAACCTATAAAATAACTCAATTTTACTCTTTTTTTTTTTTTTTTTTGAATTCAAATGTTTCATGATAACTTCATAGAATTAAATAGTTCAATTACATTATTATATTATATAATCCAATAATGAGAGTTGCATTTGACATTTTAAATTTGAGACGATAAGATCTTGACAATCTAAACTGATTTACATTATTATGTTCTTTTTTAATTAACATCACAAGATGAGCTCCTTACGAAATATATATTCATATAACGGTTATGTATTTTCAGTAAGGAAAATAATATGTGTATTCATATTTTCTACTCTAACTTTTACTCTATACATACAAAATCTTGACGTAAATGTTTTTATTGAGATCAAATAAAAAAATAATAGTTTATCAATACCTATCAGACAATACTCCGTAATATTTAGAAAGTAAATTTGAAAGTCCAAGTAATCAAAGATGTATTTATCTCCATTTTTCTTTTCTTTTTTTTTTTGGAAAGGACACTACGGGATTAGAAACCCCAACTGAACACAGTTAAACATAGTATCCCAAATCCGGTGCTTCATTCCGAGTTCCGACTCAGATCCGGAAAAGCAAGCTTCAACATCCTGCTCCGAGTTGACTCACCTCTTTCACTCTTCCTCCGTTCTGCGTCGCCGATTTCCGATCAGAGGTGATTCTCCATCTCCACATCTATCTTTCACTTCCACACTCCCATTCTCATTCTATGCAGGCATAACCATTATAGAACGGATTTTCGCAGTATGTATATGTATGTAGACATTCACGAAACGGATCGAATTATATAGAGCTAAGCTAGATCGCATAATTTCCGAAAGTTATAACTAATTTTGTAAGATTAAGTTCGTTGTTGTCTTCCTTGGTGTAAACAGATCGGTTGTTAATTTCCATATAATAGCTTATTTCACGAATCTGAATGTTTAGAATTGAAGTTCATCATTACGGAGTATTGTTTAAATTTCCGCAGGGATAAAATTTGTGCAAAAATGAATTTTCTGATGCTGCGGTCAAATCAGACTGCAGCTCCAGAGCCACCGCCTGCTCAGGAAATTCAGGCAGAGAACAATTACGTGCCAAAACTGAGTACTAGTTTAGATGCTCTGGTTGCTGAAGATCCATTTCAGCATGCTACATCTTCTGAGAATTGCGGTGTAGAGGGCTACAACCACGGGAATGAAAACGGAGGTGCTGCTGCTGGTGCGAATGGGAAGTGCAACCACGTTGAGGTTACTGAAGATGAAGGATGGATAGTTATTCCGAAAAGTATTCTCTTGTTTCTCTTCCCTGTAGACCACTGTTTTGATTACCTTGTATTATTTTGTGATGTGTTCCTTACTTCCTTTGCATATTCACATTTTTTCT